CTTGAAGTTATCCCCGTGCTTCGAGGACAACATATGAGCCACCTCCCGCAGGTGTAAGGTGTAGGTGGCATCGTCCAGCGCCGGCGGGAAGGCCAAGAGATGATTCTCTCCGTCACGTAAACCACGTCCATCTTGGGTCCTCCTCCGGGGGGCCGGGGCGCTCCCCCCGGGCCCTGGCGCCTCCCCCGCCAAGCCGCCCCCGGTGGCTCCGCCCGCCCCGGCCATCACGCGGTTCAGGCGGGCGGCGGACTGGGTCTGAAAGAGCACAGGAAAAAGAATTTAGTTGCCGAGCCAACGGACGCGGGAGAGTCAGCTTTTATGCATGCATCGCGACGCAGAGATGGTCACGCAGCGCCATGTCAAAAATATTAAGATAACATGAAAATGATATATACATATACATATATACATAAAAAACACACACACGCATGTATGTATATGTACATATATATATATATATATATATATATTATATATATATATATATATATATATATATATATATATGTGTGTGTGTGTGTGTGTGTGTGTGTGTGTGTGTGTGTGTGTGTGTGTGTGTGTGTGTGTGTGTGTGTGTGTGTGTGTGTGTGTGTGTATGTATGTATGTATGTATGTATGTATGTATGTATGTATGTATGTATGTATGTATGTATGTATGTATGTATGTATGTATGTATGTATGTATGTATGTATGTATGTATGTGTGTGTGTGTGTGTATATATATATTATATATATATTTATATATATATATATATACATATATATACATATATATATATTATATATATATTATATATATATATATATATATATATATATATATATATATATATATATATATATATATAGTTGCATATGTATGTACATACATGCACACACTCGATGCATGGATTACCTCTATAGTTTTTGGTATATTACTTTGATTAACTTAGCAAATTTCACCGCCTCAATAAACTCAATTGCACGAAACGACAAAGGCAAGCAAAGCACTCGGATCATTCTCGTAAACAACTTTGCAATTCTGTTCCTATTCATCTCAATTTTTATCGTCTGCATTTCCGTTCCGAAAAAAGGAGAAAGAAACAGGTTGAAAAAAATTACTGACGCGTCTTACGTCTAATTAGCAACAGGGAATCATAAATTCTTTCCTTAATTTCATGTTTATGATCATGCTTACATCCTCCATTGTCTTGTAATTCTGCATATTCGTTAATATTCACGCATTCCGTCTATATTTCAACTTTTTTCATTGCTAAACTATTTTCGTTTTTATTCACTAAATACAAACATCTAAAACCAGAATGAAACTTTAGTTAAAAAACACAATTATTATCAATGTAAGTAAAACAAATTCAATCTAAGCATAACCACAATCCTATTTATGGACAGTACAACACAATTGCATACCACCAAATAAATGGAAAAAAATGTATACACAGAAATAACAAAAACTAAAACATAATAAGTAAATAAATAAAATTAAACGGTACAGAACGCACCATATATTTTAGGCAGAAAATGGAATAAGCTGGTAGTCCTTCGCAAGCCGACCTCACCTAAAAGACGCATTTACCTCACCTCGTCGGAGCGAGAAACACCGCACCTACAACTTTCTATGGAAAGTATGGGGTATCTGAGGACCAACAGGTGGTAACAGCCGGTGGTAACTAACTTCACGCAGGTGGCCAAGTACCGAACAGACGGCAATGTGTGTTAGACCAATAGATACAGGGTATTCTGCAGCAGCTGTAAGTGAATACTTCCTATTACAATTTGAGGCTGTTAGAGTATCGTTGTATTTATAAGCGTTTTCCCGTGTGTGTGTGTGTGTGTGTGTGTGTGTGTGTGTGTGTGTGTGTGTGTGTGTGTGTGTGTGTGTGTGTGTGTGTGTGTGTGTGTGTGTGTGTGTGTGTGTGTGTGTGTGTGTTGTGTGTGTGTGTGTTTGTGTGTGTGTGTGTGTGTGAGTGTGTGTGTGTGTGTGTGTGTGTGTGTGTGTGTGTGTGTGTGTGTGTGTGTGTGTGTGTGTGTGTGTGTGTGTGTGTGTGTGTGTGTGTTGTGTGTGTTGTGTGTGTGTGTGTGTGTGTGTTGTGTGTGTGTGTGTGTGTGTGTTGGTGTGTGTGTTTTGAGTGTGTGTGTTGTGTGGTGTGTGTGTGTGTGTGTGTGTGTGTGTGTGTGTGTGTGTGTGTGTGTGTGTGTGTGTGTGTGTGTGTGTGTGTGTGTCGTGTGCGCGCGTGCGTGCGTGCGTGCGTGCGAGCGAATGTTCGTGTTGGTTGGTGGGCGAGTGTGTGTTTTGAGTGTGTTCCTATGTGTATGTCGGCATTCGTAAGTATGGACATGCAAGCATATTCGTCCGTATCTGCACGTACATAGGTGTGCGTCCGTGTGAGTTTTGACTCACTTTATTTCCTCTCCGCTCGCTCTCCTTCCAGCTGACTCACTAAATAACCCGCCCATCTTTCCGCCACAATGGCCAGAATTCCCGCGTAACTTGGATATTAA